GTTTTACCTTCGGCTGTCTGTTTGACTGGCACTTTCCTCCTCTAAATGTTACCCTCAGGTGGCTCACAAAAGGTACGCACCGCAGGGAATGGCACCTTCTTCCTCTAAATCTATTCTCGAGCGCCCCATGCACCGTTGAAATGGCACCTTCCCTACAATTACCCTTCGGGTGGCTCACAAAGCTCCGCGCCGTTGGAATGGCACCTTCCCCCTCTAAAACTCTAAATCTCAACCTCGGGTGGTTCACAAAAGGTATGCACCGTTGGAATAGCACCTTCCTCCTCTAGATTTTACCCCCGGGTGCTTCACACAAGGTATGCACTGTTGGAATGGCACCTTCCTCGAAATTTTACCCTCGAGTAGCAAAGCTGGCCACTTGCAGCAGCACTTGCAGCGCGTCAAGCTGCATTTTTGCAATTGCAAAAGCAGAAGCAAGAGCAAGTGCAAAAGCGCTTGCTAAAGCCGAAGCACAACCAGGAGCAAAGGCAAGAGCAGAAGCAAAAGTAAAAGCAGAACGCAAAAGCAGAAGCAAAAGCAAAAAGCAAAAGCAAAAAGCAAAGGCAGAAGCAAAAAGCAGAAGCAGAAGCAAAAGCAAAAAGCAAAAGCAAAGAACAAAAGCAGAAGCAAAAGCAGAAGCAAACAGCAAAAGCAAAAGCAGAAGCAAAAGCAAAAAGCAAAAGCAGAAGCAGAAGCAAAAAGCGACAAGCAAAAGCAAAAGCAAAAAGCAGAAGCAAAAGCAAAAGTAGAAGCAAACAGTAAAAGCAGAAGCAAAAGCAAAAAGCAAAAGCAGAAGCAAAAAGCAAAAGCAAAAGCAAAAAGCAAAAAGCAGAAGCAAAAGCAGAAGCGAAAAGCAAAAGCAAAAAACAAAGCAGAAGCAAAAGCAAAAGCGAACAGCAAAAGCGAACAGCAAAAGAAAAAGCAGAAGCTAACAACAAAAGCAAAAGCAGAAGCATTAAACAAAAAAGACTCAAAAAAACGGAAGAAACCCGAAAAAAGTCCCAGAGAAATACCGGTTCCCGTTCAAGATCAGGTCAGGCAGGCCTTGCGACCGGTTCGTGGTCCCGCGCGCTTCCTGGACCTGGCTCCTGAAATTTCATCTTCCTCAGGGTATCTCTTTTGCGAACGCAACGCCTTCAACTTCGACTGCACTTCAACCTGATGAGCCACGATTTGACTCAAAAAGAGCCAAAGACGCAGATCGATGACACCGATGACACCGATGACACCCCAATGGAGCAGGAGCACGATCGAGGACAGGAACAGCAGGCACAAAATGAGGACATGAAAGACGAAGAAGACAAGAACAGGTCCGAAGATATCCGAAGCCAAAAGGAAAACGAGACGAATTTGCCTGAAGAGGTGAAGACTGAAGGAAATCGCGAGCGATCAAGAAGCCCTCCCATGCGAGACGAGAAGTCACAGGCCTTTCAATCCTACAATACGGCACGACAGCTTGATGGCATGGGCCCAGTCTCACAAGATGATCCTGCCTTCCAGCGACATTGGCAGAGTAGTCAACAGATGGACGAAGATGAGGAGCTCATGGCCGACACTTTCAGGGAGAAAAAACTGAGTGCTGAGGAGAGAAAGGAGTTCGACTTGGCGAAGATCAAGGCATTGCAGGTGTGGTTGGACAACTCTGCCTGAAAAGCTGTGCCGGAATCGGAGGCTCGTGAAGGTGAAGTCATTCCTGCAAGATTCCTTCAAAGGTGGAAGGCCACAAAGTCTGGAAAAGTTGCACACGCCAGGGTCATCATCCAGGGGTTCCGCCACAAGGACATTTTGACAGAAGAGCTGGATCGTGAGTTACCGACTTTGAGCCGAACCGGTTGCATGTTGATTTTGATTTGGGCATGTCAACTTGGTTGGAAAGTTTTTGCTGCAGATGTGAAGAGTGCTTTCATGCAATCAAAGCCGGTCGATGAGCAGACTCGCATTTTCATCAGGCCAACAACTGAGATGACTGGAGCGATTGATGGGCCTGAAACCTTGGGAGATGCTCAAAGCTACAAAGCCGGCCTTCGGTGATGTTCGTGCCCCACGACACTGGTACGATGTGGTACGAATCAGCTCGAGAGTTTTTGTTGGAGTAAGCAAAGTTTTTGGTGCATCCACTGGACAACTGTGTTTTCTTGAGCGTGAGAAGAGCGTACAGTGACGATCATGAATTTCCCGCTTTCATGCATGATCGGGGGTACCAAGTGTTGTGGACGGCACTTTGGGCTGCACGTGGATGATTTCCTTCGCTGCGGAGGCACCCGGATCATTTTGGAACCGCAAAAACGGATCAATTTGGAACACAAGTCATTTTGGAACACAGAGAAACAGGAAACTCTCCGGGACCGCGGTCTGACACCAGCCTCGCGGATCATTTTGGAACACACATCTCTTTCGGTAGTGCTTCGAAGGCATCATTTGTTAGTTAAAATGAAAGTTTCGTCCGCACTTCGGACGAAACTTCCTCCAAAAGTGAGCCTTGCAAGTCTCTAAAAGGAGCGTTTCGTACGAGACTTCCTCCAAAAGTGAGCCGTGCAAGTCTCCAAAACGAGCGTTTCGTACGAGACCTCCTCCAAAAGTGAGCCGCACAATGCTCCAAAAGGAGTGGCTCGCACGAGACTTCCTCCAAAAGTAAGCCACACAAGTCATCACAAGTCTTCCAAGTGAGCGTTTAGGAGACTTCCTCTAAAATCTAAAAGTAGAAGTGATCCACGCATATCCACGCAAGCCTTCATCAAAACAAGCGTGTCGTCCAAGACTTCCTTCAAAAATGAACCTTGCACGTCTCCAAAATGAGAGCTTCGTACGAGACTTCCTCCACAAGTGAACACTGAACTTGCAAGTCTCCAAAATGAATGGGCATTTCACGTCTTTAGGGTCTCTTTTGGCTTTGCTTAGGGTTTCGCTCCTTTAGGGTCTCTTTTGGTTTGGCTTCGCGCTTCGCTGCTTTAGGATGTCTTTGAGTTTGACTTAGGGCTTCACGTCTTTAGGGCCTCTTTTGTGCTTTAGGATGTCTTTGGGTTTGACTTAGAGCTCCACTTTTTAGGGTCTCTTTTGGTCTGGCTTGTGGCTATGCTGCGTTAGGCTGTCTTTGGGTTTGACTTAGGGCTTCACTTCGCCAGAAACCACTGCCCAGAAACCACTCCCCAGAAACCACTCCCCAGAAACCACTCGTCAGAAACCACTCCCCAGAAACCACTCCCCAGAAACCACTCGTCAGAAACCACTCCCCAGAAACC